CAACCATAGACACAAATCCATAGCGCGCCAATGCAAGAACAAGACATCGCAACCATAAGCGCCAACCCTAGAACACTATCCAAATGGCACCATGGCAATACAAAAACAATCGCGACCATTGGACCGCTGAATGCAAACATACCAGGAGGGATAAGCCGCTATGCTCTGCTACACAACCGTTGTTCGTACCCGACGAAGCGGGGAAACCGAACGCGGAGGAGTTGAGAGAAGGTCAAAGGAGGTCTTTCTGATCGCGTTGTGCTCGTCATGTCGCCCAGTCCACCGACGTCGGGTTGGCCAAGCAACTGAGTGAATAGACAATTATGCCAGTCATGCCGCCCGCGTGCACCTGCACGCAAGTATGCATAACCATAGCCTCTCCAAAGCTGTAACCTCTCATAGTCTTTCCGATGCTACATCTGTGAAGGGTCCTGAGTGTTTGAAATTACATTAAATACTACATTAGAAAAATAATCCAAGAGAAACTGCTATAGGCGAGCTCGCGCAATGAGATTTGGCCTGTGAGGCAGGGCGGAACGAATGTGAAACAGGACGAGGCGGACCGTGTGCATAGGTTCTCCTTAGCCGACTTGGCCAACGATGCTCTACACAAGTTCGCAGGAGACGGGGCGGCAGGAAAAGCGAGGAGGGGTAGGATGAGCTGAAAGACAGGATGCTGGCGGGCTCTACCGCATCATCCTGCGCAACCTGACCGGCCTGCCCAAGACGCCAAACTGACAGGCACATATCAGTGCACATTGAAGACTGGAAGCCACGTGCATTCTATGTTGTCGCCTTCCCAGACATCCGGCTGCTCCAATTTTTTTGTTGCGTGGGCTCCCGAGGTCTGGACCACTTCCCTGGGGCCTATTTTTCGTCCTGAGACGTTTTTTGCTAGTCCCGAGGCCCGGCGAGGGCCCAATGGAGGCCCGAATCAGCTAAAAAACGCCCGCTCGGATTCTTTCCCAATCATCCTCTTGTGTTGGGCTCTCGTTTTGAAGAGACAATCCCCGCATTCCTCTCCTCCTCCTTCTCCTCCTCCACATCCTCCCCATTCCCTCTCCTTGTCTCTGCCCGTATCGTCGCCATCGCTATCATCATCAAGATCATGATCATGATCATGATCATAATCATCATCATCATCGTCATCATCATCATCGTCATCATCATCATCACCACCATCACCATGACCATCACCATGACCATCACCATCACCATCACCATCACCATCATCATCATCAACATCATCATCATCATCGGTAGCATCATCATTATCATCATCATCGCCGTCGACGTCATCATCATCACCATGACCATCACCGTCACTATCACCACCACCATCCTCATCATCACAACCATCACCATCGTCATCATCATCATCATCATCATCATCATCATTAACATTACAATCTTAACCATCACCATCTTCCTCCTTCTCATCACCATCATGGTAAATCACCATCACCATCACCACCACTACCACCATCATCACCACTACCACCATCATCATGATCATCGTCATCTTCATCATCAACATCGTCATAATCATCACCATCGTCATCATCATCAGCATCATCATCGGTAGCATCATCATCACCATGACCATGACCATCACAAACATCAGCATCATCATAACCATCACAATCATGATCATCAGCATCATCATCATCATCACCACCCTCACCACTACCATTATCATTATCATCATCATCAGCATCATCATCAGCATCATGATCACCATTATCATCACCACCATCATCATCATAATCATTATCGTCGTCACCATCATCATCATCATCATCATCATCATCATCATCATCATCATCATCATCATCATCTTCGCCGACGTCGCTGTCGTCGTCGTCGTCGTCGTCGTCATCATCATCATCATCAGCATCATCACACCCCTCATACGCACACACACACACACCCCTCACACGTTTCGTGGTCCCATACGGAGCTCCAGCGGCAGGGTGCGCATGGCGTAGCCGCACCTGATTCGGCATACCCCTGACACGTTTCGTGGCCCCATAGGGAGCTACACTGAAGGCCCCAGAGGCAAGGTCAACATGACGCGTTTCGTGACCTCATAAGGGAGCTCTACCGAAGGTCCCAGCGGCAGAGTCCGCATGGCGTAGCACACCCCTCATACGTTTCGTGGCCCCGTAGGGAGCTCCAACGGAGGCCCCAGCGGCAGGGTCCGCATGGCGTGCCCGCGCCTGATTCAGCACACCCCTGACACGTTTCGTGGCCCCATAGAGAGCTCCACCGAAGGCCCCACGGGCAGGGTCCGCATGGCGTGCCCACATCTGACTCTGCACACTCCTCGCACGTTTCGTGGCCCCGTAGTGAGCAAGGTCCGCATGTCGTACCAGCATATGACTCGGTACACCCCTCACACGTTTCGTGGCCCCATACAGTGGGCTCCACCGAAGGCCCCGGCGGCAGGGTCCGGATGGTGTAGCCGCACCCGATAAGCACGCCCCAAACACGTTTCGTGGCCCCAGAAGGAACTCCACCCAAGGCCCCAGCGGCAAGATCCTCATGGCGTAGCCGCGCCCGACTCGGCACAACCGTCACATGTTTCGAAGCCCCATAGAGAGCTCCACCGAAGGCCCCAGCGGCAGGGTCCGCATGGCGTATCCGCACCTGATTCAGCACACCCCTCACACGCTTCGTGGGCCCATAGGGAGCTCCACCGAAGGCCGCAGCGGCAGGATTTGAGTGGCGTACCCGCACCTGATTCGACACACCCCTCACACGCGTGCCGTGGCCCCATAGAGAGCTCTACCGAAGGCCCTAGCGGCATGGTCCGCATGGCATGCCCGCAACCGATTCGGCACACCCCTCACACGTTTCGTGGCCCTGAAGGGAACTCCACCGAAGGCTCCAGCGGCAGGGTCCGCATGATGTACTCGCACCCGATTCAGCACACCACTCACAAGTTTCGTGGTCTGTAGGGAGCTCCATCACCTTGATCATCATCATCATCATCATCATCATCATCATCATCATCATCATCATCATCATCATCATTATCATCATCATCATCATCAACATCACCACCACCACCATCACCATCACCATCACCATCATCATCATCAACATCATCATCATCATCATCATCAGCATCAACATCAACATCATGATCATCATCGCCATCACGGCTAAGATCATCATCATCAGCAGCATCATAACCGTCATCATCCTCATCATCATCATCGTCATCACCATCATCGTCGTCGTCATCATCGTCGCCACCACCATCACCATTACCAACACCATCGCAATCACCATCACCACCACCACCACCACCACCATCATCATCATCATCATCATCATCATCATCGTCATCGTCATCGTCATCGTCATCATCACCACCATCATCATCATCATCATCATCATCAGCATCATCATCATCATCATCACCATCGTCGTCATCATCATCATCATCAGCATCATCATCATCATCACCCCCCTCTCGCACACCTTACACGTTTCGTGGCCTCATAGGGAGCTCCAGCGGCAGGGTCCGCATGGCGCAGCCGCACCCGGCTCGGCACACCGCTCACACGCCTCGTGGCCCCACAGAGAGCTCCACCGAGGGCTCCAACGGCCAGGCCCGCACGGCGTAGTCCGCACTCGGCTCACCCCTCGCGCGTGCCGTGGCCCCACGGGGAGCTCCGTCCAAAGCCCGGGTGGCAAGGTCCGCACGGCGCACCCGCCCCACGTCTGCACACCTCTCACTCGAACGAAGGATTGCAAAAAACGAAGGATTGCAAAAAATGATTGCAAGGATTGCAATCTTTTTTTTGCAATCCTTGCAATCCTTTGAACGCAGGTTTTTTTTGCAATCCATTTTTTTGCAATCAATCGTTTTTTTTGCAATCCGTTTTTTTTGTTTTTTGCAATCCTCCCCTGCTTCTTCTCACTTGCCTCGCAGTGCCCGCAGCTTCATATGGTTGGACCTCTCACCAGGGTAATTAATTTGGAGCGTCGGATCTCTGGGTCTGCGTTCGGCGCTCAGCACGTTCTGGCGTTAGACCCCCCCCCCCAGACTGCCTGCAGCGCAGTAGGGACTACGTGGAGAGCCTTGGCTGCCCAGGGGCCTCCCAGGATGCTCCTGGAAGATGCTCTTCCTTTGGACTCCCAGAATCATACAGTTTTTTGTTTCGGACGTGGCTTAGAGTCGAGCGCTCCCTCCCAGCAGCACAGGGCCGAACGAGGGCCCGACAAGGACGAGCGAGCGAGGCCCAGAGGAACGACACAACCGAGGAGGGACAACGGCCGAACGACAAACCGAGGCCCGAAGTCCGCAAGGACTCCCACAACCAAGAATACTAGCATGCGGGCTTCCCTGGACGTGGCCTGAGCGGTCTAGGAGGCTCCACCAGCAGGCCGAATACTGCTCGAAACTGTCACGAGGCAGCCGAATGCCCGTGCGAAATCGGCGCCTTGGGCTGGGAGCTCCTTTAGGAGAGAGCCTCTTGGGGCGACCTCTGACTGTCCAGGGACCTTCTTGAATCTCTCTCAAGGCCTTTACTCTCGGAGCCCTCCAGAGGCCTGAGGGGCCTTCCAAGACAGACTCCAAGAAGAATCCAGCACGAGAGGCTCTCATGAGTCGGACGTAACATCTCTGACACCATACCTGATATTACCTACTGTATTTTGGGCTCCCCGAGCCTCCAAGAGGGGCCTTATGAAGCCATCTTTGGGACATTTAGGACCTTGTTTGGCTCTTAGGGTCTCTCTTGGGAGCCTCTTGTGGCATCTCGGGGTGCTCGTGGTGCCCCTTGGGGTATCGCGGATCCTTCTCGAGGCCCCTCTGTGGACTCTCTAAATGGCCTGGTATCTCCATGGGCGTGCGACGCAGCGATTCCAGAGCGCCAAACTTCAGGCACATGTGTGTGTGGATACTTATACGATTGCGGCGCACCTCCTCACTCCACCAACCTCAACCTATTTCTCTCCTATGTGTCTTTTTCGAGCTCCGCTGAGTCTCAAAGGCCATCAAGCAATGCAGTCAAACCTTCCTCGGCGGACTCCTCTTTGACTTCCAGCGGCACGTTAACAGTCGTTGACATTCGAGGAAGTTTCAAATGAAACATTTGATTCACTTGTCTCTTCTCATTGCAATAATCTCGGTCGAATACCTCTGCCATCGTGCCAAACAGCCGGTAGAAGAGTGACACCCGAGTGCGGGTTGTCAGAACGTGCTCATTGCTGGAGTTCTTCAGCACCTGCCCCGCGAGCAGTGCAACGCGCAGGTCCAGCGAGGGCATCGGCAGGAACGCGTGCGGGAAGTACGCCTTCTCGAAGGCAGGGTCCGCGGCTGCGAAGGCCAGCGAGATCCTGGGGGCCGGTGCTCTCGCATCCGCAGCGCTGCCCCAGTGCATCAGTCTGTGCGAGAAGGCGAGCATGCCGCCGCGGGAGACAGGCAGCGCCCGGATCTGCTGGTACGCCTCCCCGGTGCTGAAGATGTCGCTGATATCTGGGCAGTCGAAGCCAATCTGGCGCCAATCTGGCAGGCCCAAGCTGGCAAACGGGGGCACTCTGGCGGGGGAGCCCACGCGAATCCCGTCTGGCGAAGAACCCAACTCATCCAGTTTGGCCGGGCCAGATTGGCCCTTGGGGCCCAATCCAATCTGACAGTCTGGCCTTCGACTACCCAGGATATAGCTTTTGCTGCCATCATGGTAGCCGGGATCTGATCTCCTTGGAACTACCATCAAACATGAGCTCTGTGGAGTTGCATCTGTAAGCGCAATCCAGAACGTCGTGTAGCGTGGTGTGCCGTCAGTGCGAAAACCCTCCACTGCTGCTCTGAATGACCCGCGGTCACGATGAGGGGCCCAACCAGCTGGCTCTGCGGTACCTTGTCCATCTCCAGCTTTCACGAAAAAGGCGGCCCAATCCATGATCAATTGATTACCCCCCGTTGTGGCATGCACTAGCTGCGTAAGCTGTGCAAGTATGACCCAAGGCTCATCATATGCGATAATACAAATAGGTGGGAAACCAATGGAAACGAGCTTCTCCACGCCGCGCGCTACGTCGGCCACGCTGACGGCCCACTGGATTCTGCCGCCCTCGACGGAGAAGTAGCCCTCACGAATGAGGTCGGCCGACCAACCGTCTACTTCATCTGCGCCCTCTGGGTAGGACCCCGCCGCTGCGCGTGCTGCCTCGCAAAGTCCGTCGTCTCCCACGTGAAGCCACGGGCAGAGATCGCGCCAGAACGCCGCGTCGCCGGCCCGACTGCGGAGCTCCTCGAGCGGATCGGGCTGCGGCAGCCCATCACCAGAGGTCAAGTTCTCCATGGAGGGCCAGCTCGAGCTATCGTGGAGGGCCCTGTGCCCCAAAAGAGCTGCACATGACACGACTCGTATACATTTTTACGTATGCTGGACAGGGGGAACCTGGCCCATCACCCCGTGGCTTTTGCTAGACTTTTGTTCCTTTGATCTGCGGGGCGAGAGCGAACCTCCTCCGATAGATGCTAAGCGGGCCGCGCACACTTTTGCTTTTGCTAGACAAGCGCGTTTTGCTACTCGCAAAATAACTGCTCGCAAATGGCCTGGATTCGCCGCGGGGGATCTACGATCCATCACATCGAGGCAAGCGTGTAAGTTTCGGACGTTTACGAGTAATCACTTTGCGAGTAGTGGAACGCGCTCGGTGATTTGCGGTCCACTGTTCATCTTGGACGCCCTCGCCGGACCTTCCTGCGGCACCCAGAGGCCCCTCTGCAAGTCCTTCCTGGACCTCCCTGCCGTCCCAGTGGAGCCTGCAAGGATGCCTCTGGGCTCCTCCGCGACGGTCGAAGATGGCCCAGACACTTTTTCGGTTATTCCCAAACCTTAACGAAGTAGAGTCGCACGAGGTTTCAGCGTCTGACTTCACGATCCACAGCGTTCTGCCTGCACAACAGCGCTGGCTAGCCGAATCAGCACCAGTGCTAATGTCCTGGGCACTCCATGACAAGATGCATTGGGTTATCTAGCCTTGTCTTCGAAGTCGGCCGAGCAGAGCAACTGAAAGATTCGGCGAATGTGTCCTGCACGTATCCTACAGGTCCATCAGTGGAGGAGGTAATTACGCCAGAAATTCAGGGCAATGGGGTGATACCAGTCTGCCTTTGCAGTGGGGCTGCAACACCCTGAAGCCTTTCGAGTCCCAGTTGCGACAGCATGTCTTCGAATGGTCGCTTGTGGCCTTGCAGGACGGCAGCGTGGGGAGAGCTACTCTCATGGGGATGGGCTGCTGCTGAAGAGGGTCACCCTCTATTCAGACTGAGCCTGGCCAGCGCGGCAAACACTGACCCGTAAAGAGCCCTCCAACACCCACGCCCCCTCCCACCCCCAACGACCCCACTCCACCTTTATGTCACACACAATTGCCCCAGCCCCTGTTACAGGACAAACCCAGGAGCGTTGCGCTCCCTGAGCCGCACATGCCACTTCAGCCAAACCACCAACACCACAACACACTGACTGCTCT